AACTGTGTGTTAGTTCCACGATGTTAGGCTTTGATGCCCACTTCAGCTGGTGGATTTTGCTTCAAAATAAAATTGCCTACTGGTCTGCTGGGTGTTGTGTGTTGTATGATGTCCAGAATTAAACTGTAAATCTGATCAACCTCAGAGTAATATTAAAATTATTTAGAACTTATAAAATCTTTAAATTCTGGTACTGCATCAAATTGTAAGAACTACATCGACTATTAGTTCAAAAAATCCATCCCATCAAATTTCCTTGATTTTTTGCTTTTCATTCTTTAAAAAAAAAAGTTACAGTTTAAAAAACAATTCTAACCATATTTCTGCTGTTTTTTACTTTTTGATGATTTTAGCAATGCTAACAAGTTACTAACTTACAGCCGAAGAAAATGTAGGGGAAATTTGAATATTTCCATATTTCTTTATTGTTAACTATTTAAATATTTAACAATTATAATTTGTGACATATCACACAAATTTTATAACACTGGTGAATCGATCGACACACAAATCATCAAAATCATTCAATTGGCCAAGTTATTAGCATTTACAGTCTGACCTTTTCGTTGCATTTCCCTGAATTGGCACCCTTCCCGAAAGACGTAGTCCTACGTCAACAGCAATCCTACTTGGTAAAACAAGCAAATCAATTCCATGAAAATACCTACCAAATAACATAATATAATTAATTTAAACCTGGTATACGCAAAAACTGTACGTGTTACAACAAATCTGAGTACATATTTGGATTTAGCGATGCAAACTATATTAAGTTCATAGCAAATTCTCGATGAGCGTAAAACACTGCCCTCTGGTGTGTTCCATGATTGTTTCTCTGAGTTCGAAATCGCGATAATTCTTCTATGCCCGCGATCTTTTTCTAACCTAAAATTTCTGAGAAAGTCCGTGGGCTTATAACTTTTGCTAAGACATTTTCATGATTGTCCAAGATCTTAGAAAATGTATGCAACAATTTCAAGATCTCGAGCGTTGGTTCTAGAGATGGGCGATCCGCTCCCAAGCTTTTCTATACACCCGATTCTCTAAAGTGTGCTGATGACCCGCGGTTCATTTTTTAGGAACCGAAGCTCATCAGCTCACTGATATCACCAGTCTAAACCATTCAAGCCATTACTCATAGCGAAATTTTTCAAAAAAGATCTCATTACTCCACTAACAGTCACCGCGTAAACTAAGACGCAAGCGTAATACACCATGTGCCTACTGTTCGACAGCACCAACGGTAAAAGCAAACTTCCAATCGGTAGTTTGGGAGAGAGCATATGGGCTCTCATCTCTCCTCCCATCATTCTCTGGGGGAGCGGAAGATCCGCACAAAAGCAAATAACCGAAAAGCGAAATGCAGCTCTCCAGCTTATCAGCTCAGCTCCGGATCCGAATCATCGACTCGAATGATTTACTGGGAGCTGTTTAGGATGACAACTCTCGGACCCATCCAGCTCTTCGGATCTCTCTCGATTCTTTACGATCTGGAGCTGATGCCGAGAATTGTGAGAGAAATTCTACTGGAGAATAAGCATTAGAAATAAAATTTGTGTGCCACGATGTCAATCATATTATCATCGCGTGTGACATAGGTGTAGCTCTCACGCATACATTTTTGACGTAGGACTACGTCTTTGTTTTCTATATGGGGGTACACTTTGAGAGTACGAAAAATGAGCATTAGTGTGAAATATGTCAAGCAATATGCCATTCGACCGGGGCTTACTCCAGCAATTTTGCGGCATATAGTACAAATAGTGCAAATAGTTAAACAACTAAGAAATTTAACTCAAATTTGTAGCATCGAAATTTCCCATACATTTGCTTACACCATAAGGGGTATTTCCTAATAAAGACATCACATAGTTGGTCCCAAACGAATCAAGCCGTAGCCGCATTTCCTTTCGAACTTCAGACGTGTTCGAAAGGCTTCACAAGCAGCTTGCTGCCAAGGCTGCCTGCAAGAGCGCTCTAGACAGAGTACCAGTGATAAAGCCACACTGTCACTGTTTGGGTACAGTTGCTCATCGTGAGAAAGCATTGTGGGCCACCGTCATCAAGCACGTTATCGTCATATCGAAACTCACCCAAGCTCAAACTAGCACACCGTATCCGTGGAGGTCTCAGAATTTTATTACTTAGTACCAATGGAACAGCGCCATCTATGTGAAAAATAGCCTTGACTTCCTAGTTCATTTTGTCAACATCCTAGGGAAGCACAACTCGAATTCTAGAAGTTACCACCACGTGTTGCAACCTGATTGGATAATGCAACTTATCAATGACGTGTCAGCAGCCACTATATAAGATTGGCGTCGTCGATCCGATCCTCATTCTTGTGCTTTTGTGATTACATAAGCGTTGGATAGTCCTTACTTCTTTTGAGGGCCATGCAACATCAAAACAGCTCTTTTCAGAGCCACAATCCATCAAAACGGCCCTTTTCAGGGCCACCGCAATTTTCAAAGAAAGAGTTAGTTTGAAAATTACGCATGAACTGAAAAAGAATTTTAAATAACGTTCGTTCAAAATAGTTTACATATGTGAGCGTAGTCCTACGTCAACTGTTCGTACAACCCCATTGGGCTGTCCCTTGTAGTTTTTGTTTTACTGCTATGTTGATGGCACATTTTGCGCGCATTTTGGTTTACACGATGTAGCTTTTTCCATTGAAAAGTAAGGCCATGTTGTAAGGTACGGATTTATTGGTTTAGACTAGCACTTATGCAGTTTTAAGCACTAAAACCACTAATTAATTTTCCGATTTTGAATTTGTGTCATAAATTATATACTTTCAATGTGAGCTGAAGAGCTGTTCAAAAGAATCGACTCCCTTTAGTAAGCTGGATGGGTTTTATCCACTCAGCCAGATGAGCTGTTTTGCCCACCTCTAGTTGGTTCCCTTCGCGACAGCAAAGAGTGCAGTAGTGTTTGCGTTGCTCTGTGCGGTCACTTGCCTTTGTGTGTCGTGTTTCGCTACGTAGCTTTTGTGGTGAAGAACACAACTGGATGGGTGAAATTGACAGTTTTGAGAAGGCACTGGATATGCATCCCGTTTAGATTGCGGAGGTGAAGACGATCTTCACTAAGTTCAAATACGAACAATCAATGCAATACAATTTCAATTAATTGAAATGTATTTATTTATTTAAAAGATATTTCAGATATTTTCAAACATATGCACTGAAGCGTCAACTTAGACAAATGCTTCTTACTAATGTTTTTTTTTAATTACCTGGCTATATTATTTTCAATGTAAACAGATGCGAGAAAATCCATGATTGCTAATGGAACGAGAAGTGTAAACCAATGATTTATTTAGCGTGCTCTGGAATGAATACATTTCCGCAATAATACTTAATTGCCCATGCTTTTTAAATCGCTTGATCTCTACATTTTCATTTTTTTAAAGAAATTGGCTTGATTTCAAGAGAAATGTTTTACAACATCTTTTGAAACTGATATCAATTGTTTACCAAGTTCATCAAAATGACTACAGTTTTTGTTAGTATAGGTTAGAATTCTCAAACAAATTTGTTTGATTGTATCATTTCTGGAAAATAAGTTTTACAACTCTGATTATTTTTATTCAATTTCATCGACAGCTTATAATTACATCCCCCTTCCATATTGTGCCACAAAGATCTGGATCAAAGTCACGTTAACTGTCATTGTTTTGTAACCTGTATCAGGTAAAATAGTAAAACAAACGCCGATGTGAAACTTTAAAACAAATAAATTAGAGAAAATACTTCCAACCATAAAGCTTTGAGCTGGAATTCAAACGTTTGTTAGACCGAAATAAACAGTAAAGCTGGGTTTAGATGGCACTGGTAAATTCCCATAAAAGACCCTCATTCAATCGAATTAAATTATGACCCAAAAAAGTTGGACGTGTACCAAATTTCGAGAAGCTCTAGTTTAAAATTATGATTCAGTCGGAGTCGGTACTTTTTCTTCGATTTCAACTCCGACTCCTTATGCTCAAAAATGCGTCCGACTCCAACTCCACAGCCCTGCGAGCTAAGCACGTTAAACATGCGCATAGTTTTATTGCGACTATAATCTAGGGAGAAACTTTATGAATGTGGCCATTAAATTTAAAGACGTTCTTTTCCACCTCGGTTAGACCTGGGCGGCAGCACTGAATCATTGGGTCAGGTGAAGCGATTATCTCTCATCAGCAGCTATTATAGCAGTCAAGCGTTATTTGGCATTTAGTACAAGGTTTATGCAAATTTTAAAAATTCTGCCGGTATCAGATTGCCAGCCTACGTCCTTCCGAGATGATTGAAGTTCGCTTACGAAACCAGCCAGTCAGCCAGAAACCAGTTCGCAAGGAAGGGAAAGTTTTCTTTGTCTTCCTTCTCGGAAACATCGATGAGATCCTCGCGGAGCTGTACGGCCTCAACCGGTTTCCCTACGAGGACCACCGTACACGGACCACGTGCACACAAGCTCTTCAGGGCAGGCTCGCTTTCACCTTACATCCCCAGGCCGGCACAAGTGCGTATAGAAATTTCTGCACATAAATTATTAATTTTGAGTGCGAAAACATTTGAGTCCGCATAACAATGGAAAGTGGAATCTCTGCGACGATGACTAAAGCTGACCGCGCATAAGAAGCACTTTCTGGCGGGCTCACAGGTGGAACATTAATGCGGCGGACACGCCCTGCATCATAACATTATGTAAGATCTTGATTTTTCGAGTGTTAAATTCGATTATGTTGTTCCCCGAACCTCATAATCTCTTCGACGTTTTTCCCATCTGAATATTCAATTTAAAAAAAAAATCCGGTCTTAATTTGGATTCACTAGAGGTACGACCTCACGAGTAACGTGTTGTACAACCGAAAAAAACGCTCCATTGTTCGCATAATCAATGTCGAATCAAGTGCGCGCTCAAAGTTCAACGATCAATCATGATCATAGCACCAAATTGAATAATATAAATTCCAAAGAACCATTTTCAACACACAAACACGCGCTTACCTTTCCATCGACGATCTTCTGCTTGATCCACTCGTTTTCGGGGCTGGTCTCGACGGAGACGCTGTCCATGCACCGCTGACGGCAGAAGTTCCTTGCGTCCAGCCAGTCCTTTTCAGCGCCGACCAGGGTTGGATCACGCCACGAGAAGAAATAGCTGCAACAGAAAGAATCATAAAACGAGACTTAATTTCATCAATTTCACGATCGATGAAGGGGGATGGGGAGAGAGGGGGCCTATTATTTTGATTCGTGTAGGAAACATATCGGAAAGTGATTTATCGGATTTATGGTTTCCCGCGCGACCGACGACGACGACGACGATCGACGACAAACGTCATTATTGCGATGAAGAAAGCGCACGGAAACGTATGTAGTTAGTTGAATTATGAAATGGCGGTTTTTATTGGCCGAGAAAATTTATTGCTTACGAGTTTGTAAATTTTTATTGATTTCATAATCGCCGTGTTGAAAATGGATGAGTGACGACGAGTTAGATAATGTTGTGATGGGTCGATGTAAGTTGGCTGTCGGCAGTAGGTCAACAGGTAAAGTTTATTGAAAATTAACTATTGCTATTGCAAACGTCTGAATCCTCGTCTGAAGTTTCGTCTTAGAAACTGTGTACAATATCTATCTCTTAATGTTGGTTGAACTTTCTTTTAATGTTCTTCAAATTTCCTAGAAGTCTTCTGAACTTCCCCTGAAGGTTCCCCCTAGAAATTTTTCGAACTTTGCTGTTTCTGGAGAATCTTTTAAAATACTTCTGACATTCTACTTCTTGTTTGCTTCCATGCTTTTGACAAGCTTACGCCTGATCTCAACTTAGTGTTTCGTGCAGCGTTAACAGATTATTTTCAAGCTTATCGGTATCAAAGGTTTTACAAAATCGGTATTTATCGGTGCTTACTATTTTGAATAATTTTATATTTTTGCCGCGGAACGGAAAATTTAATTCCAGCAGAAGTCGGAACGTTTGAATTAGCTTGAAGGAAGCTGAAAAGTTTCCAGAAAAAGAGGACAGCGCTCTTCTGGAAGTAGTTTGAAGAAAATTCTATAAAATATCGGAAAAATGTCCGGGGAACATCCAAGACAAATATTGATAAACGTCCGGAGAAAATTTAAACAAACTTTTGGAAAAAAATGGACGATCCAGAGGAAGCCAAATAAAAAAACGGAAATCGAGAAGCCAGAAGAAGCTTGACCTTCCAATATAAGTCGCAAAAAGAACCTCCGGAATCGAGAAACTTCCAAAACAAGATGAGAGAAATTTCTGGGAGAATTACTGAAGGTACTTCCGGTAGATGTTTAAAAGAATTTCCTGGAGAAGGCGGAAGAAACTTCTTGGAGACGCTGGAAGACACTTCCTAAGGTAGTTTGAAAGAAACTTATGCTGAAAGTCAGAAACCAGACGGTTTACGGATCAGTCAGACGATGGAAATTTCTAAGAGAAGTTGGGGAAAACATTACGGAAGAAAGAGATTTCTGGGGAATGCCGATAGAAATTTCCGGTGGAAATTGGTTAAAATCTTCTAAGGAAAGTTAGCACAATCTTCCGGGGGAAGTTGGCAAAAACTGGCGGAAGAAGCTTCCAAGGGAAGTCGAAATAACTTTCTGATAAGAATCGGAAAACACCTTACGGGATAAGATGGCCGAAAATCCACTGCTTAAAATTCTTTTCCCAGGAATTCTCACGATGAGCCTTCTGCTGTTTCTCGATTCTTGGGTAGCCAAAAATGGTGAGCCGAAAGAATATCAAGCAGCAGAAATGTTTAAAAATGAAAATTTTTCAGAGCATTCTAAAAATTTAAGATATTTAAAACGATTAAAAGAGTCTCACAATCGTTTTATCTGACATTTGAGCGGCAGGCAATAATCATTTTGATTATTTAAAGAACCCGGTATAAATAGTTATAAAATCTTAAAAATCTATTCTGAGGAACCTTATCTGTACATCGGTATCAAGTTCAAAAATAGGTATAAATACCGATAAATCCGGTTTATCTTGCAACGCTGGTTCCCTGAATTATGTCCACTAGTGCGTTGTGGCGCAAATGGTCGAAAGACAAAACGTCGAATGACAAAACTTTGAATGACTAAACGTCGAATGACAAAAGGGCTAAATGACAACCTTTTGTCTATTCAAGCTTTTGTCCATTCGACCTTTTATCCATTTGACCTTTTGTCCATTCGACCTTTTATCCATTTGACCTTTTGTCTCCCTTCTCATGATTCAACCTATTGTCCATTCGACTTTATATACGGCATACGATGTTTTGTCCTTTGATCTTTTGTCATTCGACGTTTTGTCATTCGACCTTTTGTCTTTCGACCTTTTGTCATACAATCCACTACAGTAGTAAAAATTGCTCAATTTTTACAAAACCTTGGATTTAACATTCAAAGTGTTTTTTTTTTTGTTATTCCATACGGTTTACGATTTTCAGAGTTGGTTGGATACTAATATCAACATGTAGCTTTAGTGTGATAATTTATTAACTAGAGAAGTTCTGAAGAGAATCGGTTGATAGTTCCGCTGGAGTTCGGCAGTGTGAAAATTGAATAGAAGTTGAAATTGAGCGAAGGCCATTAATGCGACAGTACTAGTCAAACGCACACTCCACACTCCACCGTCACTAGAACTATTCCACAGCCACAGATAGTTTTGCCTATGGATTTGAAGAAAAACTTCAAGTCCCCTCATCCATCAAAGTATGTGTTAGGTAAAAGAGCGCGCGATTGGCTAGTGCTGTCGCATTAATTGCCCTTCGCTCAATTTCAACTTTTATTCAATTTTTACACTGACTGCCGTACTCTGGCGGTACTATCAACCTATCCTCTTCAGAACTTTCAGATATTAGTATAGCATTTCCGACCATCTGGGGCTTAAAGTCTACTGCTGAACCAAAAGATATTATTCTTTTTTAACTTTAGAGCAGTACCACGCCAAATGACGAATCCTTGTGATGCGACCTTTTTTGATTTGCATGAAGCTTTACATAATTGTTTGATATGGCCAATGATTCACATTTTTAGCTAAAAATCGGCCATTCTAAATCTCGCAACCAAACTTACAAATGACGTATTCAACTTGTTTTTTTTTTCAAAAATATTATAACTCGAAAACGTTACTCCCAATCCAAATGATGTCTTAGACAAAGTTGTAGGAAAACATAATTCTTTTCCAAGCATTCAGAATTAGAATCAAGTATTCTTTAGAATAATTTCTCTTGAGAGAGTTCTTTTCAGAACACTACTAAAATAAATTTAAAATTCTCTCTGGCAGTCCATTAAAAAAGTATTTATAACAGTCCAGAAATTCTCAGTAGAATACTAAAAAAAAAACATTGTTGTAAAAGACGCAATTTTTAAAATTGTACACGATCTAAAATGGTCGAATTTTAGCAAAAATTTCCATTATTGCCCATAACAAACAATTATGCAAAATTTCATGTAAATCGGAGAAGATTGAGTTTTTCCGATATTTAATTTGCCGTGGAACTACTCATTGTCTTAGTTTTTTCTCAATATTATCTTGGAGTTCTTCTCTAAATTCTCCTGACAAAAAAAACACTCGGAATTCGCCTTAAAATTCTCAAGAAATTTGTTTCGAGATGAGCTTGTAATTATCCTCGGAATTTCCTTAGAAGTCTTCGCACTCTAAAAAAAATCGTTTCCCTTGGTATTTTTCACGAATCCTGGAATCCTCGTCACAACTATGTGGAATTTGCCACAGAGCTACTTAGAAAATTAACTCTAAACTCACAGAATAGACTTGTAGTTCAAGTCCAAAACATTCTTAGGGAACATGCATAAATGACTTATCATTTGAAAGGAAGGGGGGAGGGGTTGGTTTCATAAGTTGTGACTCACCATGTATTAGGTATAGCGAAATAAGCTACCCCCCGGATAGTGGTCAAACATATGCTACCTAATTAACGGTTGGTCCCTTAGAGTTCTTTCTAAAACTCCCTGGGAAATTTTCTCTCTTCCTTGGTGTTATCCCTAGAATTAATTCTAAAATGTGCCCAAAATTATTTTGAAATTTATTTTTCTAATAATCACTCACAGTTCTTCGAAGTGACTGTATCCTGAAAATGTAGTCCAGTACAAGGGTCTTGAAATTGTTTCAAGTTCCAAATTCCCAATTTGTCATCGAAATTCGAGTTTTTTTCCGGAGACTTCGAATTCCATGATTTTTCCCGGTTTTCCCCATTTTCTAGTTGGCAGGTCATGCAGCTTCAGGGATGCTTGAAAAACTCCAAGGTGGCTTCATTAGCTTCAAACAAACTGTAAGAGCTGTTAGGAAGTTTTCAAAAACTTCAGAAAAATCCAGAAAATTTCAAAGTTGGAGAGAAGTTTTTTGAAAAATTGGGAATATAAAAGAAAAACTCCAGGAAGCTAAATCGTATGAGCTGTTCCAAATTACTTCAGGGATGTTTCGAGAACTTCAGGAAAGCCATGACTATCCGGGTAGTTTAAAGATCAGTAACCAAAAGTTCCTATAAATTTTGGACAGTTCCATGAACTTTAGGAGGCATTTCAAAAACCCTGAAGAAGTTCCGGGAATTTAATAAATGTCAAGAGTACTCCAGAAAAATTAAAAAAAAATCAGAAATAATTCGGAAACTTCACAGAGGGAAGTTCAGAGAACTTCAGGGAAATTTAAACCTGTCTAGAACAGTTACATTTATTTCAAATCGGTACCAAGAACTTCAGGAGAATTGACAGATCTTCTGGAAAACTCCGAGAACATCAGGACAGATCAGAGAATCAAAGAGCAGTTCAATTGTTTTCATGGACGTTCCGTGAAACTTAGGGCATTTCCAAAAACTTATGCAAAGTTCCTAGAACTTCTATAAAATTTCGGAAACGTAAGGGAAGTTATATGAACATTAGAAAAATAAGAGTAGATATTAACTGACCGACCCAAGGGTGCCAAGTTGGTGGCATTGCTATGAAACAGCACGCCTGTTTCGTTGCCGAGAAGCGTGCTTGTTCACAGCATCACCACGGAATTTCATGACAAATTTCAAGAGCTTCATCAAATTGCATGAACTTCAGCGAAAATTAAGAAACAAAATTTCCAGATGTTTTTTTAAAGCAGTTTCATTATTTTTAGGGGTGCTTCGAGCACTTCCAGGATGATCAAAGAAG